TCCCAGTCATTAAAAATTTAGGTTCTGCAACTGTTGTCTCTCTAGTCATAGGGCTGATTGGCCTTAAATACAACTACAGAAAGGGGCGTCTGAGTGGCTCAGTAGGTTAAGCATCTGACTCTTGGTTTCAGCTCAGGTCATGATCTCAGCGTCATGGGATCCAGCCCTGAGTTGGGCTCTGTGCTCAGCACAGAGTCTGTTTGTCCCTCTCCCTCTGCTCCTTCCCTTGCTCTTTCTTTCTCTCTCTCTCTAAAATAAATAAATAAAATCTTTAAAAAGAAAACCCAACTACACATGGGGAAAACATAGGAATATAGAGATAATACACTTCACATTATAGATGACTTTTGGGATGCTTGACTTAATAAAAATTAGTAACTGGCAGGGACCAGTTTTAAGATATATGGGAGATCGAAAGAGCTTTGTCTAAGCTCTATACAAAGAGTTCTGTTTATTTCTCATGTTCCTTTCCTTAGAAAGCTGTAGAGGAATGCTCTATCAAAATTAAGGAGTAAACCTAGAAATAAGGAGACTTGGGATCCAAGAAACCAGGGATTTAACCCAGGAGAGAGGAATCCTGAGAGGATGCCAAAGGGAAGTTCCCATATCACAGTTGTACTGAAGGCTGAGGAGAGCACTTAGTCCAAACTGGAGGACAGAAGTTACCAGGAAGGGGTACTCCACAGAAACAAAAACAAAACAAAACAAAACAAAACATCGATAAAAGAAATATAGGTACAGCGCACCATTTTCCTTGGCAGTGAAAAGCACACGCGAGCCATAATACTAAAAAAAAAAAATATGACTTTAATGGAGAATGTGTTACGACTCTGAAGATGTGGCTGGAGTGGGGAGAAACATTCTGTATGAAGTTGATGTAAAAGACTAAGTTCTCACTTTCATATTTGAGAGACCATAGTTTCTAAAACTGAAAAATTAATAGTGCTGCAAGTATGTTATTTAGAAATATGGAGATAAATACCAAATGAAACTACCAAAAATGTTCAGAGTGGTTGCCACTTGAAAAGGGGGACAGAACTTGTTTCTTGCTATGTCTTATTTGATTCTTTAAATACACAATAAAAATAAATATTAAATTTAAAAAAGAAAAAGCCCTTTCACTTGATTGACAGTTTGGTTAGATACAGAATTCTAAGCTGGACATGTTTTCCTTCAGAAGTTGTAATGCAATGCTCCATTATCCTCTAGCTTCTGATGTTGCTACTGAATTTTAGTATGGAATTGAATGTGAGCCCCCTCCCTTTTATTTTTTTCATTTCAGGAAGATTTTAGGATATTCCTATTATGCTCAGTGGTCTAAAATTTTATGATGGTATGTCTTGGCACAGTTCTGTTTCATCTGTTGCATTGGTCACTCAATGGATTCTTCTAATCAAATGTCCTTCAACTCAGAATTTCTGTTGTATTATTACTTTGATTTTTTTTCCTTTTTCCTGTTAGCTCTTAAATTTCTGAATTAAGATCTTAGATCTGCTGGATGGATCCTTTAATTTTCTTATTTTTTCCATTTTCCCTCCTTTTTGTCTCTTTGATCTACTTTCTGTTCCCTAACCATTTCTTTTTCTATGGCATTCTATTCTTGTTTTATGTTTATTCATGTTTATGTCATCATGTTTCCTAAGCTCATTAACAGAAAAGAAGTCATTTAAGCAGATATTATTTAAAAGATGGTGAGAAGCTTGTCTCTATATCCACTGAGAACATAAGGGAGTAAAATAGCCTTAAGACACATAATGAGTAATATTTTACATAGAGGGGAATCAAAGTAGGGTGGACATCCAGGATTTGGTATGCTCATCTTCTCCTTTTGAAAACTGTTCCCCTTTCCACACTGTCATCCACATGGTTCTATCAGTACCTACCATGATGTATGACTTTCTCTGCCACTCACTTGATTAGTCTGGGGTAGGGAACTGATCCAACGTGATTTAATCACAATTTTTCTCTGGAAAAATTTTAAATTGGAACGGAGAAAAAGCAACCAGTATTTTTCTGGGCACCTAAACCATAAGATATAGAAATTGACAGTTCTTGGGAACCATGTTTGCTGCCAGATGAACCTGAGAAGCAGTGGAATTCTGCAGCAAAAACTAGCACAGATGCACAAGCAGCTGCACAGAGAAAGGCAATTAATGGAAAAGGAGATAGAGTCTCAGAGGCATCAGGATCCGCTGTTCCTGAGCGAAGTCACATCTCTGTCCTAGGGATCTCAATATCCTCATTAAATTCTCCTTTTGGCTTAAGCTGGTTTGAGTTGGCCTCTCTCTCCATGGTAACAAAACCTTCCTAACTAACACACTCAGTTTATTTGATGCTTTCTATGAACTAGGCAGTGTATTAATGCTTTATAAACTTTATCTCATTGAACCTCTCTGAGGTTGGTAAAATTATTTTACACATGAAGAAATTTTACAACTCCAACTGCTGTATAATAGACGCCACTATCTAGATGTCCCCTGGTGTAAATCAGCATGTCAAAAACACACCACTTCTCCATCTATAAAATGGGGAAAGCGGAAAGTTTTCCCATAAAATGGGAAAAACTGCTCTTTTTCCTACAGACACCTAACTAACTCCTTCTTACCTTGAAGTGCCAGCTTAAATGTGCTCAGAGGAGACTGTCCTGCCTCCCCAATCTCAAGTAGGTTCCTCAATAACACCTTCTTTCCTTCTCCCACAATGTAATCACACAGTATTTTGTTTAGTTCTTTTCGTTTGCACTCTCCTGTGTGAGACAATGAAATCCAGGATGGCGGGGCCTATACTAATGTTGTCTGCCATTGTAGCCCCTGCATCTAGCACTGTCCCTGGCACATGGAAATGGCTCCATAAAACGTGTTTGGAGACATTAAATATTTCTAAATATTTAATATTTTCTTTTATGTATCTATAAGGCTAGAGTCAACAACTTTCAACACCTATTCTTGAGGGAGTAGTAACATGCAGGGCACTCTGCCAGGCCCTAACTGAGCCAAAGACACAGACGAAGATATGACTTCTCTCCTGCAGGGGTTCACAGTAGAGCATGAGACTCAAGCAATTATAATACCAGGGGAGAAGATTTATAACAGAGATATAAACAAAGTGTCATAGTTACAAGGGAGGAAATAATCGGGATATAATCCAGGAAGTTAAAGTGAGGAAAGGAAAGAAAGGAGTTGCCAGGGTTGCCATTCAAATGGTTAGATTCTTTATGTCTCTATCCTATACAGCTTTTCCCCATAACTCTTCCAATTTATAAGACCTGGAGTAGAAGTGACAGTAAGGATCTTCGCAAGTAGTGGTATATGAAAACTGTAATTTTCTTGAATCTTAAAAATCATCTCTATCATTTGCCTTATCTCCATATCACTCTGCAAAGACTGAGTGAGACGGAGTCTAGCTGCTTGCCTCAGCCCAGGATTCTTCAGAAAAGCCCAGGCCTGTATTACAGGTCAGGGCTTTTTTTTTTTTTTTTTTTTCACCACTGCCAGATCTGCTTTCCTGATTCTGAGATTAGAGGACAATGGCTTTGATCCCTTTTAGCACTCAAAGAATAATGCTCCTGTGTCACAACACTGTCCCAAGTACTCTCATTTACAGTGGGTAGTTTTGCGGACAATTACCTGTCTAATGCTTGTTTTCTCTCCCACTCACCTCTAACCTAGTGCTCCATCAATGCAGATTAGGGACTATTCCTCTAGCCATGATCTAGAATAGAATTCTTCTTTCTCTATCTTCCCTACATCTATATTACTTGTCAGGGACATATCAAATCTTTCTTTGGGGTTTGTTTGTGGATATGTGTGAGTGATTGGGGTTGATGTGAGGGAAAACAAATGGTTTTGGCAAATCATCATTATCGCTAGTAAAACATACAAAGGATGCAACAGGAGGAAATATGTAGCTATTATGTAACTGTGTGCCTTTTTAATCTCAGAATTTTAAATATTTAATACCGTCACTATGTACTTATATCAGTGGTCTTAGAAATTAGACTCCCCCCTCAAAAAAGACTTACCTAAAAAGGCCCCATTGAAATGGAACAGACCAACAGAAAAAGTCTAGTGTTCCAACTTTAAAGAATTATGAAATGAAAAAAAAAGAATTTTCAAAATTAAGATATTTTCCTTTCAAACCAAAAGCTTGCTTCATCTATTGATTCATCAAATATTAATTGGTACACACCTGAAAGGTCAGTTTTGTATGTTGGTTGAGAGCCCCAGCTCTGGCTGCTGATAGAATTCCATCTTTCCCATTTATTAGATCACCGTCCTTGGGCGAGTTACTTAGCTTTGTGTGCTTAGTTCCCTCATCTGTAAAATGGATATAAATATTAGAATTATCTCACAGGATTGTCATCAGAATCATATATATAGTGCTTAAGAATATTTGACACCACATCAGTATAATTATTCTTACCCTTAATTTTCTTTCAGCCCTGAGGTGAATGTCAAGTATTTTTGGAGGGCACTCCAAAATTCCTTGAAGTGAAACTATTTGATTAAATTAAATCCTAAATGTGAGTGCATCCTGTATCTCTCTAAATAGGGACACAGAAAGATGGATAACCAAGGAACAGTCAGAACTCCAACACGGATAGGGGACAATCCCCTCCTCCTCTGCGTTCTCCCAGGTGCCTTACAGAATGCTAAAGCCTTGCAAATAGATGCGCTCCTCAAATTTAAGTTCGTGGTCACCTTTAAAGTCCTCCGGGGAACTACAGGCCTGGGTCCCCGCCAGCTCTAATGTCCCATCCGGTGATCCCAAGGCGCCCCCTTCTCTCAGGTTATCCCGCCCTCCTCCGTCCCGCCTTCCCTCACTCGGGTCTCCTGCCCTGATGCCGCTTGCCCGCAGCACCCCGCGAGCCCCAGGGGGGCCCTGGCGCCCCAGCACCGCGGCCGGCCGGGCCGCGCCACTGCGCATGCTCCTCGCCGCGCCGGTGGGGTGCCTGGGGCCGGGAGGCGGGCGCTGGGCGTGGGTCGCGCTCGGCTGGGAAGGCCTCCGCCTGTCGCGGGCCACGCAGCGGCGGGAGAGCGCGCTCCGGGGCGGCGGCGTCCTGGAGACCTCCGAGAGATGGAAGCGGCGGCGCCGGCGGCGGCCGAAGCGGCGGGGCGCGAGGAGCTCGGTGGGTGCTGCGTGCCGGCCGGGGCGCGGGGCCGCGAGCCCGCGGGATGCGCCCGGACTTCGGGCCGGCGCTCGGCCTCGGCGGGGGAAGGCGGGTGCTGGCGCCGGGCCGCCGCCGCCCCTCCCCACGCGCGTGGCCCGGCCGCATCCGGGTTCGAGCGGCTGGTCGCCGGACCCGGACAGTCGCGGGTGGCTTTCCTGTGGCCACGGGGTGTTTCTGGGCGAGGTCCCTGGGGTCGTGGGTCTGGCACGGGTTTGAATTGAAAACCCAGCCGAGCAAACCTACCCGGAACCTGGGGTGAGCTGAGGCTCGGGAGGCGAGCGACCTCGGGACCGCACCCGCGCAGGACCCCGCTGACCAGGGAGCTGGGCAGGAGACAAGCGGGGCCTACAAAGGGCATCAAATGGGAGCGCGCGCACACGAGAGTGTGTGTGTGTGTGGGGGGGGTTGGGGTTGGGGTGCGTTGTGTATGCACGTCAAAGGCTAGCGAGAGCCTGCTCTGTGACTCTCACCGTTTTCTCTAGTGATGCTTGAAGGCTTTCATGCGCCACAGCCTCATTCCGAGTCCCAGGTGAACCCTTCATTTACCCTGTGCCATCCCCGGAGTGGCAAGCGCGACGTGCCTACCAGACCGGACGCGACATACCTGTAGCTAGCTCACTTGCCCAAGTTTGTTTTCCTGCTCTCCTCTGATCTGGTCTCATCTTCCTGGTGACTGGGAGTGCAAAAACATTGTGGTTTCCTGCTGTCAAAAGGAAAACAAAAGCAAGGGTCAGGGTAGTCACGTCATTGTTCCGCCCAATTATATGCATTATATTTAGGAATATTTTTAATTCGATGCAGAATGATTAAATGATTTTTTAAAAATTGAGCTTTAAATAAAATCTTCAAAAAAAAATAAAAGTTGAGTTTTAAAGCAACATTTCATTATAGTAACTAATAGGTTGGCGTTCCTGTAATAATGGGCAGGGCACTCTGCCGGTAATTTCTTTCAGGTCATAATAATGGTAGAAATAAACTTAGCATTTTATTGACTGTTTACTCTGTGTCAAGCAGCACGCTAAGTGCTTTACATATGCATTGTTTCCTTTAATCTTTAACACAATTGGGTGAGGTAGATGCCATTATTATCCTCATTATAGTAATTTTAAGTTAATTAATGGCAGAACCCAGATATGAACCCAGGTTCATCTGACTGTTTTATGTTCACTAATAACACATCTCAGGATGTGGAGAAATGTGCATTCTCATGCATTGCTGGTAAGAGCAGTATAATGTATTTGTCCTTAAAAATATGCACATATCCTTTGACCCAGCAATTTTACTTCTAGAAATATTTCCCAAGGAAGTAAGTCATGTAACACTTACATCAAGAGATGTTCACTACATTATTTGTAGTTGAGAAAATCTGATAACTATCTAAATGTCCAGTTAAAGGAAAATGTTTAGGTAAACTGTGATATAGCCATATAGTCATGTACTGAATAGCCATTAAAAGTAGTATGGGAGGATGTTTACCATATACATTTTTATTCACTGAGAAAAGGTTCCAAATTATTTCTTAAAAGTTATGTCTGTTCATTTAACACATATTCAGCAAGGTTCTCCTATGTGCCAGACACTGTTTTAGGCACTTGGGATATATCTGATACAGATCAAAATTCCTATTCTTGTGGGGCTTGTATTCTAGCAAGAGGAAGCAGACAATAAACAGTAAAGACAATCAGCTAGTTATATATTATGTTAAGTGAGAAGTGCTGTGGGAAAAAGGGCAGAGTAAGAGAAATCAGAAGTCGGTGGGGGCTGGGCAGTTCTAGTATAAAATGGTCAGGATGGATCATATGGAAGCGGTGAGGTTTGTGTAAAGACTTGGAAGAGATGAAGGGACTAGTCAAGTGGAAATCTGGGGAAAGACATTCCAGGCAGAAAGAACAGCTAGAGTAAAGACAAATAGCAAAGAGGCTAAGATGGCTGAAGTGGGGTGATCAAGGTGGTGATGAGGCCAGATTATGTAGGGTCTTGGAGGTCATGTAAAGACTTTGGCTTTTATTCTGAGAGAATGGGGAGCCATTCTCCCCCTGCTGCAGGGTATCTGACTTAAATTCTAAAAGGATTACACTGTAAGGGGCAGAGGTAGAAGCAGATGGGTATTTCTGAAATGCAAGAAAGAGATGTACCTGTTCCTCACAGAAGTATGCTTGTAGGAGCGGGAGTGGAGAGAAGTGGTTAGACTCTGGATATACTTGAATGTAGAACCAGCATGATTTCCTAACGGACTGGATAAGAGTTGAGAGTGAAACAGGAAGCAAAGATGACTCCAGGGACCTGAGTATCTGGAAGAATGAAATTGCCATCAACTCGGATGTTATGGTGGTTTTATAGAATGTCTACAGATTTTTTGATGTTTGTCTCTTCAAGAGGAAGAACTTAATTTCTTCCTTTGGAATGTGGACTGGATTTAATAACTTGCTTCTAATGGATAGATGATGGTGGAAGTGATAATGTGTGACTTCAAAGCCAGATCCTAAAAGACAGTGTGCCTTGCTCTCTCTTTTTTGGATCACTCACTTGGGGGAAGCCAGCTGCCATGTTGTGAGGATACTCAAACAGATATTGAGTAGGCAATTAGATTTATTTCTAGAGTTAGTGAGAGGTCTGGTCTAGAGATAAAAATTTGGAAGTCATCAGCATGTAGATAGTATTTAAAGCCATGGGACTGAATGAGAACATACAGGAGGTGAGTGTATTTGTGTATACTCTCAAATGTTACCAGTGGTTATTTCTGAGTGGTGAGGTAATTTTAATTTCAAAAATATTGCTTATTTACATATATTCTGATTTTCTACATGACCAAATATTATTTAATTTAAAAAGGATTTTTAAAAAATTGGATATCTATGTAAAAGACTGGTAGAGATGTTAAGATACAGGTTTCCTTAAGCTACACAAATAACCATTTGTGTAGCTTAAGAACTACACTTTATTTCATAGGTAGTGGGGACCTCTGGAAGGTTTCTTGCTGTGCATGTTTTTACCACTTCAGAAATGAATAAGATAGTCACTGTTTCCATCTTACATATATAAGTAGTTTGTAGATTTAGATAGCTACATTATGTTGTATTAAAAAAGAAATTATTTCTACTTTGTTTTAGTTTCTCCACTGTTAAAATATAAATGATTTCCTGTATTTTGCTATTATAAAAGTAATGTTTCTTTCTTCTTTTTTTTTTTGCATTTTCCAGAGAAAGACAGTAAAAAGTACTCATGATCCCATTGTACATCTCTATCCTTGTTAACTTATTCCCTTTTTTTAAAAAAGATTTTATTTATTTATTTGAGAGAGAGACACAGCAAGAGAGGGAACACAAGCAGGGGGAGTGGGAGAGGGAGAGGCCGACTTCCCGAGGAGCAGGCAGCCCAATGCGGGGCTCAATCCCAAAACCCTGGGATCATGACCTGAGCCGAAGGCAGAAGCCTAACGACTGAGCCACCCAGGCACCCCAACTTATTCCCATTTTTTTAAAAGTAATTATTTATTTTAGAGCATGAGAGAAAGCTGGCAGGGGGAGAGGGAGAGAACCTCAAGTCAACTGGGTGCTGAGCGTGGAGCCTGACACAGGCTCACTCTCACGACCCTGAGATCATGATCTGAGCTGAAATCAAGAATTGGGTGCCTAACTGACTGAGCCACCCAGGCACCTCTTATTCCCATTTTTGATATATTTCCTTGCTTCCATTTTAAATTAACTTTTAAAAACATCACTGAATTCATACTGTGATTATCCAGCTTTCTCACGCTCAGCATGATATACTTTTCCCTGTTTCACTCGGACTTCAAAACTATAATTTAGTGTCAGTGTAATACTTTATAAAGTGGAGGTCCTGTAGTTAATTTAGCAATTTCCTGATTGTTGCACAGTTAGGTTGTTTCCAAATTTTCAACATAAATAATGTTTCAATCAACATCTTTGTGCAGAAATCCTTTTTTCCATTTCCTGGCTTGTCAGAAATGGAATTACTAGGTGAAAGGATAAACATTTTTAAGATTTCAAGACAATGCTAAATTAATGTGATTTTCTTTAATTCTAACTACAACTAGAAATTTAGGTTGATTTTAGGTTAGGAGATTGAGTTTGAGACAATTGTCTGGGCAGTATAGGAGATCATACACGTACTGCCTAATGTAAGAATGTTCCAGTTTTATGCACCATTAATGTATATGTATGGTATATCATATATGGTGTATAATATTGAATGAAACTAGTGTCTCTTATTCATATATAATTTTTCCATTTGTAAATAGAAATAACTGTGTTTAGGTAGTTTGATATCCATTGCTTAATAGAGTTTTATCTTATAAAACATTGTTAATTCTTACCTATAGTAATCACATAGCACTTTTTAGAACTGCCAATTCAGTACTTGGCTAAAAATTACAGCAAGACGTTGACAAATAATAGACTTTGTGTATAATGTAAATTTTGTATTTTGTATTTTGTAACTTCTAATTATGTTGCACAAAAGTTCTAATTTTATTCCAAACCTTCTTAACTTTGTTAAAGCTTCTACCATGTTAGATTTTTAAGTGTCTGTGTCTTCCTCTAGTCTCTAGTTCCTTCTGGCTGGCATAACACATTTTGTCTACTCAGTATTATAGCACAGTTTGTAGCTCATAAATGCTCATAATCACTAATTATTGGTGGTAAATTCACTAATTTCTTGTCAAAGATTTACATTTAAAATCCTGTGCAGCATAATTTGCTTCTAATATATCTTCGTGGGGGCGCCTGGGTGATGCAGTTGGTTAAGCATCTGATTCGGTTTCAGCTCAGGTCATGATCTCAGGGTCGTGAGATTGAGCCCTGCAGTGGCTCTGTGCTGAGCACAGAGTCTTCTTAAGATTCTCTTTCCCTCTGCTCCTTCCCCTGGCAACCCTGTGCATGGGCATGCACTGTCTCTCAAGTAAAAATAAATAAATAAATCTTAAAAAAAAAAAAAAA